GTGGCATAATGATCTGGTCGAATCGTGATAATTATGTCGGTCATTGGTTTGACAGCAAGATGCATGGATCAGGTACAATGCAGTATGCCGATCGCAGAATATATACTGGTGGTTGGTTAAATGGCAGGAAATCGGGTCCGGGTAGCATGAGTTGGCCTAAAGGCGAAAAATGTGATGCTGTTTGGATTGACGATAAAGCAGTTTGCGATGGTACGTAGTATTTTGTAAACAGTAGTATATTTCGATGTCTATAGTATGTATGATGAAGATTTGAGTTATTTACTTTGGCAATGAGATCTTTAATTCGACAGCAATAAACCCAATGCTTTTGAGTAACAGTACACACACCTCTATTATTAGACAGATTGCAAATAAATAGGTGGATCCCGTTCTTTGCGCCTGTTCCATTCTCACTCTGAATCGAAAACCCTGACCACTATCTAGATCTCCTCTTTCATTTTTTTCCGTTATCTTTAATCTCGTCGTATTTTAATTTGTAGTATTTCTCTATCGTTGTTGTTTGATTCACAAATGATTTTGATTACTATATGTAGGAAAACTTAAGTGAATTGGCGCTCATTTTTATAAATTTTCTTTAATTATTGAAATTATACTACCTTTCCTCCGCTTCAAAAATAACGAATGTAAAACAAGGGCTTCCTGGTGCTCTCTACTCTGGCACGCTCTTTAGAGAAAAAAATTGAACATATTGAATGAGATTAGACAACGAAAAATACACTACCTAATGATTTATATCTGACGCTTATTTCGCGCGTAACTCTATTAAATGTCATAGTACCAAGTGGAAAATTTACCATAGCTTCTCCATTGCACCACAAACATATACTTCATAATTCAGGCGATTTATATCTGTATCACGAGAAAACGCTTTGTGAGAACACATCTCTACAGATTCACTTTCAGTCGGTTAGTCTATTTGCAGCTCCATTCTCTTCAAAATCACTGATGCCGACATCGATCTCAGTTTCCATTTTATGATTAAAAGAAATGTTGATAGTTTAGTTTCTATTTCATCTTTTAGCCATTTGTTTTCCACAATGTTCGAATGGTGGAAAATGCACTGGACCAAACTCTTGTACCGTAAGTCGAGGAATTCATCTGTTTTTCAGGGGTAACTCATTCATCCCCTGTTTGTTTAGTGTACATCATCATGGACTGGACCTCGCTGTGAAACACGTATGTAATCATTTTTTGTTCACTTTACTATAAACGGATGTGGGTGTAGGTGTGAATTGAGAGTATAGATAATCACACTCATACGCACACCCTCAATTCAAATTACTTCTTTTATTGGCATATGTTCTAAAATATTTCTTGTTTTCAAATTTTTATTTAACAAAAAATAAATCAGCAGAATCTTTTTATCATTCTTCTTTTCATTCCTTTTCTTTTCAAATTAGATTTTTCTCAATTTGCTTCAGAAATTAATTATCTTTCAATAAAAATGCATTTTCTTCAAAATTTTCATTCTAAAAAATACAACTTTCAGATACTTTCTTCATTTCATTTTTCATTAAAGATATTTATGATCATTTCATTCAAATTTAATCTATTCCTTTTCTTCTTTTTCCTTTCATCAAAAATCTTTTATTTTCATTATTTGCTAGAGTCAAAATTCGAGAAATGGAAGCAAAATGCCATCATTGTAGCTGGTAGAAATGGGGGAGGACAAGAATTAAATCAGCTCAAATACCCTATTGGAATCTTCATTGACGAAAAGAAAAATATTTTCATTGCTGATCGAGATAATCATCGAATTGTTGAATGGAAATACAATGCAACAGAAGGACAAATCATTGCAGGTGGAAATAAAGAAGGAGATCGAATGGATCAATTAAATGAACCAACAGATGTGATTGTTAATCAACAAAATCATTCGATCATCATTGCTGATCGTGGGAATGGACGAGTGATTCAATGGATGGATCAAAATCAACAAATTCTGATCGAGAATATTTACTGTATGGGTTTGGCAATGGATAAACATGGATTTCTTTATGTTTCTGATTTTATGAAGAATGAAGTGAGACGATGGACAATGGGAGAATACAACAACGAAGGAATTGTAGTGGCAGGTGGAAATGGAAAAGGTGATCAACTTAATCAACTAAATCTTCCTACTTTTATCTTTGTTGATAAAGATCAATCTGTTTATGTATCAGACTTGTTCAATCATCGTGTGATGAAATGGAGAAAAGATGCAAAAGAAGGAATAATTGTGGCTGGAGGAAATGGAAGAGGAGGGAATCTTAATCAATTGTCTTATCCTGAAGGAGTAGTTGTTGATGATTTCGGTCAAATCTATGTGGCCGATGGTGAGAATCATCGAGTAATGCGTTGGTATGAAGGAAAAGATGATGGTGAAATTGTTGTTGGTGGAAATGGCCAAGGAAATCAATCAGATCAATTGAATAATCCCAGTGGTTTATCTTTTGATAATAAAGGAAATCTTTATGTTGTTGACCGGTTGAATCATCGAGTTGGAAAATTTGAAATTATATTGTGTATGAAATCTTGATTTTGAAAACAAGAGAAAAAGTTTTTTATTGAACTAAAGAACAAAAATCTTTTAGAATTTTTTTCTTTAAATTTTAATTTGATTTGATAATTTTGATTAAAAAGTTCCAAGAAATAAATGTTAAATTCTTCATCTTTTGTTGAATTTTGCAGTAGATAAGAAGAGAAAATGTTGTATACTTTGAATTAAATTAAATAGAAATTATTCGAGAAGAAGATTTTGAGTTTGATAAAATTTGAAAACTATTGAAAAATGAAAAGAAAAGGAATCTTCTATGAAAAATTGGAAATTAAAGTGAATTTTGTTGAACAAAGCAAATATTAAAAAGATTTTCATATAGATGAAAATAGGAAAAAAATTTGAAGGAAAAATGAACCAAGAAATCCAAGTAGAAACAGTAATAAAACTTTTGAAATGCTACAAAATTCAACTTGAGGGTGTGGGTGCGAATGAAAAAAAGAATATCATGTCCGCACCCACACTCACACCCTAGGTTGTCGTTTTATTGTTGTTTTTTCATTGGAATTTGATGAAAAAAAAACAATTTGAAGCTATTTTTATTACTTTTTAATCGATATTGACAATTCAAAGTAGAATTTCTCAAGGAAAAACATCTCATTAGAATGATTAAAAAAATGATTAAGTTGTATGATGAAATTGTCAAAAATGCATCGAAATGTGGGAAAATATATTTTGTTTGAAAGTATAATAATATATTTTTTAGATAAATATTTTATATGAATTTATTTAATTATTGTTAAATAGAAATAAAACTATTCTCAATGATTATTTATCAATATAAAACTATTATGAAAATAACTTATTTTTTATTTTTATTGGAAATTATATATTCCTATATAAATTTTATTTATTATTTTATAAGATTGTACAAATTGATAATAATTTATATAAAAATATCTGAAAGATGAATTTTTATGAATGATGATGATGATTTAATGTTATTATTTAAAAACAGAACATGATTAAATTAAATTAATCAGACAATTTTTATGCAATAACAAAGATATTTTGAATAATATTAGAGGAAAGAAGAGAGATATAAATAGTACTTCAGATTTATTCTTTGAAAATTTAACAAAAAAAATTCATTTATTTATACAGAACGAAAACTAAGAGATAAACTAAGTATAATTTTAATATTTACATTCTTATCTGATAAATTTATAATTAACAAGTTTATCAAGAAAAAGAGTATTGATTATATTTGAAAGAATATAAGCAAGAATCAATTTCTGCATTATTTTTATTAAATTATATTTGAGAAAAAAAAACAGTTTTCATATGTAAAAAATTCATTGACGAATTATAGAATTTCTGTTTGACTAAATAAAATTTTTATTAAAAATAAAATTGAATTTTAATTATTATTTCAATCAAAAAAAAACTATTCATTCGATATTAAATAATATTTTCGTCTGTAAGAGATTACTGTAACAATTATTGATTTTTTTAAAATAACAATAAATTCTTAAAAAGAATATTTCAAAATATAAAAGATTAATTGAATATCTTGTCTGATATATGATAATAGTTTTGATTTATTTCAAAAATATATCGCATCAAAAAAGAATTTCTATAAAAATTCATTTTAAACAATAAATCATTTTTTGAACATGTTTTATGTGGAGAAATAGTTTTATTATGTCACATTTGTTGTTCTGATTATGAAAAAAGACCATTAATTGCAATCATCGCAGATATTCGATATTATCATTTTTTTAGAGCTTTTCATACCGAATACTTCAACAGAAAAAAATCAAACTTCTATTATGTATCGATTCTGACGTATGTGAATATATTTTGGAATATCCAGTGATATACAACACTTTCGTTTTTATAATTAAATCTCATTTATATCTTATACTTATTTATTTCGATATAATTTTTCTTTTTCAATTAAATTGTTATATTCAATAATGTTTATATTTTCGAAAGATTTTCATTTCTTGAAAAATTCATTAGATATTTTCAGTTTCATCAGTTCACAAGACGAAATTATTTCAAACCTTTAAAAATCTTATTTTTCTTCATTTTATTTACTTTGCATTTGTTAATTGTGTTCCATTATATGAAGCACTAAAAATTCATTTGATCAAAAATAAAATTGTGTTTTTTTTGTTATTTTGTGTCGCTTTGCATATGCAAGAGAGCATCGGTATGGTATTGCATAGATGTATATATGCAAGTTTTTCTTTCTCGAAGGTCAAAGAATAATCTTGTATTATATTTGTCGTCAGATTTTTTCATTGATTTCAACACAATGAAGAAAATGGCAGTCAAGTAAAATACTTTTTCTGATTCAACTCTACCAATTCATATCCCTACTAAGTATGAAAGAGAAGAATCGTTTGTTGAAAATTTTACTTTTAGATTAAGCCACTACTATTTTCTCCAATCTTTTCAAGTATATCATCAGCAGCAGGTAAATATAGATAAGGACGTAAATATTTGCAGTTTTTTTTAATAATCTTATGTGTTTTTTCTAAAAGAAAATACTCTTTTATCAATGTCTAATACATCAAATGATGAACAACTTGGTTTAGAGGCCAACGGGCGAAGCCCTACAACTATACGCGACGATCATCAAATAGGCAAGTCGTTACTGTCTTCTTTAGTTATGAAAAAATAATTACACTACTTTTAATTGTTTTTGTCTTATTCAGATAATGTTACAAATCACTGTTCGCCGATTTTGATTCCTAGTAGTACGCCGCCGAATGCAACAATTGATACAGGTTCAGAATTACCACCAATATCTGAGACAGCTTCACCGCCTACAAATCAAGATGAAGTAGGAAGACCAGAGGCAATATCAACAAATTTACCATGGAACTCAGATCGACGTAAGTTTGACTTTTGAGAAGAGTTCTAATTCGAGTTTTGTAGATATAAGTGAATGGAATATTGATGAAGTGTTGGGATGGTTTCAATTTCATAAACTTGATAAGTAGATGAACGACTAAAAACTATTGTTGCTTCCAAATACATGAATTTGTTTTAGGTTATATAACTGTTTGTTTGCTCCGGGTGAAGTTAAAAATGGTGCAACTTTGAAAAAAATGTTTCAAATGAAACGACAAGTAAATAAATTCAAGAGTTTTGTTTTTTATATCTTTTCAAAAGACTTCAATACCGGCAAATCTATTTTCGAGAAAAAGTTTTTCTGCTATATGCTAAATCGAGATTATTTGTTCATATATATATATATTTTCATTTATGTATTTTGAATTGATTTTAGAATTTTGAACATTACCGAGTTTATTATACAAATCGTTTAAAATCGAATCCAGATGATCTTTCAAAAGATTTCCATGACTTCAATCGATCGCTTGATTTATATTTTATTAATAAATATGCCCATCGATTTGATGTTGCCTTCTCATTTCCAGGTATATTTAAAAGATCAAATATTTCTTTTTACTTTATAATACACGTCAGTTAATCACCAGAAAACAGTTCTTATTTTTGATTTGATTATCTAAGACTAAGAATATTCTTTGTTTTCTAGGTGAAATACGCAATCGGGTTAGTCAAATAGCGGACAAACTCTGTGTGAAAATTAACAGACAAGATGGAAGGAAACCAATATTTTATGATAATTATCATAAAGCTGAATTAGCCCGTCCAAATTTAGATCTTTATTTACACACGATATATCGATATCAAACAAGATTGATCGTCGTTTTTATGTGTGATGATTATTCACGTAAAGAATGGTGTGGTTTAGAAGCACGTGCTATACGTAGTCTATTGAAAACGCATCAAAGTGATCGGATTATGTTATTAACAGTCGATGGAAAAAGAATCGAAGGTGTATTAGATATTGATGGATATTTCACAAGAGAATGATGATAATGTTGTAGATGCTATTCACAGTCGTTTAGAAGCTCTTGGTCATCCATTGCCATTATCACAACCATTACATACGCCAACACAACAGCTAATATCAGAAAGCGTGCTATCAAAACGTATTGAGATTTTGAGAAATGTTCTTCGTTCAATATCACCATGGTATATTATAATTATACTATTATCATATATTTTAGGTACTATTATTGGTCGTTAGAATTATATGTTTAATTTGGTTGATGATTTCATTAATAATATTTGACATTAAAGTTTCTTTTTTTTTAAAAAAAATATTTTAATGGCGGTATAAAAAGTGATTGTTAGTAGACCACTCATTACATTTTTAATAAACATATAAAATTCTCAAAACATTTTTTTTAACTACTAAATTGGACATAGTTTGTAAGATGTTTCGACTCAGTTTTTATTTTGTTCGAATAAATACAACATCAAAAGCAAAATAAGATCAACTATAACAACAACATTTAAATATGTTCCTTACAGCTTGTTCCCAAGAGAACTCGGATAGCTTGTGAATCGACATCAATGAAAACGAGATCATCTCGACCATCTTGATTTAGATCGGCTGATTGAAGTGATCATACTGTAGCTGAGAGTAAGGATCATAATTGATGTAGTGAAAAGAATTAAGTAAACACGAGTTGATCGACGTTCATTTCGTGTAATCGTTTCATTTTGACTACCAGTATCGAATAGGTTCAATTGAACGAGATGTAGCTTGAGACGACCAAAAGCAGCACGCAGATTGGCTCTGCTTGCCATTTTGTCTTCGACAATAGATTCAAATGTCAAAATTTCACATCTATCTGAAATATTCTTTTAAGATGTGCGAGTAACTGATTCGCACGTTTGGAATAGAACAATATTGAAAATGCACTTTCACTCTCAATCATTTTCACTAAAATTGAACATCTACCCATAGCTTCTGTTTTTCTCTTTGAAAAATTACACTTATTGTGCTCATAACTATCGATCATTCACTATCTCGTTTAAAGTTATAAATATAATTTTTATGTGAATAAAAAAAATTATTAAAAAAGAAAATGAAATATACGCTATTCACTGCATATGATAGACTTCTGAATAAAAGTATACTTGAAAAAAATGCT